ACTTGTGTAGAGTTTATAAAATGTTTAAAGGAGTCAAGACAGCAGCAGAAATCCCTCCACCGCACACATAAATGAAGATCTACTGCGAGGAGAAGCAGGTCTGGTTCCTGTACTGAACTGTGATGGGCAACATCTTGACTAAAACTAGAAAAAACAGGAATGCTTCAGCATTCTGTCCTTATCAGGGTCATGTCCCGTTTTTGGTTTGTTTACATGTCTTTGGTCCGTGTTGCTTTCATATATTATTTGAACCGCACCAGAGTTCATTTGGAAGCGGACTGAGACCCATCTTTTCGGCAGTCTTGAAAACTCAAGACTACAATGGAGGCATTTCAAGGAATTCAAACATAGAGAGTACTTTGTCTCTTTGTAGACCTTTTTCATGCTCAAAAAGACACATTACACACTAAAGAAAGTTGTAAAAAAAGCATAGAATGACGTTTTTTTAAGATAGGCCTACTATACAGCCAAATAGGGCTGGGTATTGAGACAAATTTCACAATTCGATTCGATTTCGATTCACAAGCTTGCAATTCGATTCGATTTCGATTCACAAGCTTGCAATTCGATTCGATTACGATTCGATTCGATTCAATATCGATTATTTTGGATATCAGTTACAATAAATGGCAATTTTTCTCAAGGGAATCAAATCTCTTAACTAATGCTATAAACTGTGGGAGTCTAGTTGTAGCCTACTAGGGTTCATTAGCCTAGAAGGTAATAATGAATGAATCACTTAAATTACACTTTTATTTATTTTTATAATAAGAAGATTATATGAAATATAAACATTTAAATGGTGGCTGTCATAAAACTTGCCAGATTTATTCAAATATGCATTAAATATTGAAGAACATTAAGATTATAATGCATATGTAATATGGTGTATATATTTAGCAAAATGCTCCTCTCCAGAGTTATTTTTTTCTAGCTGGCTAACGAGTTTATGTGGGTTTTCCGAGGTAAATATGACGATGACATTGATTACAAGCTGTTTAACTGACGTCTTTCCACGGTTGAAACGCTGATTGAGCTAATCAATGTGACATGATACGGATTTCGATAAGTTGTACTCTATCTTTAACACACTTTCAGATGCTCATTAATGTTTATTTCGCGCTGTGATTGGTATTATTAACCCGGAAGAGAGATCAGTGCTGCTGCTGCTTCTCTAGAGCTGCGTCAGAGCGATCTCACGCCACAGCGCCAAAACTCTATTTATGTTTTGGAATTTCTAAAGAAAATGGACGTAATTTGAAAATTGAGACTTTGTTTCATATCAATAGTAGCAAAGGACAAAGATTATTGCGATTTTTTGGATGTGTGCAGCCGCGATACAACGTCCCATTCATTCAAATGAAACAGGATGACTAATCGATTCTTGAGACTTAAGAATCTATATCGGTTCGTAAAAATGAGAATCGATTAATATTGAGAAATCGATATTTATTACCCAGCCCTACAGCCAAACATAATATAATTATCATATATGAATACCACTGCATCATCAGTCCCCCATCAGGTCACCAAAGGTCAAGTGCTGTAATAGAGACAGTATATAGACCTTATTAAGAGCAGAGACATGACAGGAATGAAAGTGAGGCATAGACTAACCTTTTTTTTTTTTTTTCAATGGCATCCGCTGTAAAAAGCTATATAAAGTTCCGAGATCACTTATAATTTTTCACAGCTCATGCCGTCTCAGTTTTTATGTCTACTGACATTTCTTGGAAATCAGAAGAACAATTCAAAAACACATTAAATGTCAGTACAACCAGCTGAAGAGATTTACGTCTCACTCACAGCCTCAATTTCATTCCTGCTAAAGATCAAAGATGGCGCTGTTGTGAATAAGGTCTATAAAGACAAAGAAATGCACCAGCCACAGAAAAAAAAAATTGCACTGCACAATATAGAGGCTACAGGAATGGATATTTTGCCTTTACATTGCCCTAGCCTTTTACTTATTGCCTTCATGTCAATTGCTTGCAAAGCACAAATAAAGTAATCTTCTAAAACATTCAGATAAATGTAGCTGTGCTCAGCTTCTAATTTTCTGAAAAAAGAAAATGCAAACACATCACATGAATAATTCTACACATTGAGCTGTTTGAGCTATTCCACTTTTGATTCGCCATCATTTAGAAATGATCATTGCTAATTTACATGGGTAAATATGGACATAAACGCAAAGATATTTGATAAGCAATTATACCAACCGCTTGGGGTTTGATTCACAGTGGGCCACTAATATTTGCTCATTGGGGAATTGCATATAAAAAATAAACTCTTCTTGTAAATGATGATCATAAAATACCCTTGGAATTGAAAAATAGACTCTGTGTTGTAGAGTTTTAACGTTGCTGTTGACCAAATGAAAATCTGTACAGTGTAAAAATGAACATGCTTTATCTCAGTGTTTCCCAATACTGGTCCTGGGGACCCACAGCTCTCTCATTTAACACACCTGATTCAGATCATCATCTCTTTAATAAAGAGCTCTGAACTGAACTGGGTGTGTCAGATAAAGGAGACATACAAAATGTGTAGAGCTGTGGGTCCCCAGGACCAGGATTGGGAAACACAGAATTGTGGCTACCGATTACAAGCAATATTATTTATTGAATTTAACAAATTAGAATTGAGTAATAATTAATCAAATTATTCCTTAAAAGTTAACCATTTAAAATGAGTCAAGTTTACACCAAACAATTTAACAAAAATATCTCACTAACAGACAGACGTCAAAGATTAATTAAGAACTCTTTTATTTCATATTGCCAACATTGAAGACACCTGATGTTAACAAGCAGAATCACTGAAGGTGAAAACTGTAATTTTAAAACAAACCTAAAACAAACACTGATCACCATAATGGTGACTTAAATGTATGGTTTTTTTGGTTGCAAGTTTTACTTATTTTAAATGGTTAACTTTTAAGGAATTAATTTGATTAATTATTACTCAATTCTAATTTTTTACATTTAATTAATAATATTGCTTGTAATCTGTTGCCACAATTTTTTTTGATTAGATAAAGCATATTCATTTTTACAGTGTACTGTTTTACATAATTTCTTTTTCAGCTTATGATTCTGACCATCTCACCGAACCAGAAAGCACAAAATAAGTAAAAGGAGACGTTCACATGATGCATCCTTGCAGCTTGATTGAGTGCAAGTACAACGTCGACACACAATATTAAAAAAGTGGCATTGAGAGACTAAAGAAACAGTAAGATGGAACAGCCAAAGATGTAATTAAAAGAATTAAAAACATTAGTATTTAATTTATTCCATTTATCTTTTTGAATAGAAGCTTTTTTTCTCGCAATTCTGACTTTCTCGCAATTATTTATTTATGGCTTATTTTCTGAGAATTTAGAGATACAAACTTGCAAAAGTTTTAGTTTACCACTTAATCGAGTTACAATAAGGTTTAAAACACATAACAGACTTAACTCAATCATTTTTAAACACAAACCATATTCAAATATGAATAAATCATAATGTGTAAAACATGTTACCGAATAATTTCAGCTACTAATAAATACCAGAATAATACATTACTAGTCCTTTTAAAATTTCAAATTACAAAGACAGATAGCCTCTGGCACAAAAGTAAACTTAGTAAAGGTTGGTCACACACTTGACACTTCTTAAGCGCCTAGTGTTTAAGTCCAGGCTTTCCTTATCACTTCCTGCTCATAAAACAGAATTAAACTCTGCAGACTAGGGACACACTGGTAATTGCGAGTTATAAAGTCCAATTCTAAGGATAAAAGGCTAACTTTTTTCTCAGAATTACACATATCTCACAATTCTGACTTTATGACTCACAATTGAGAGTATCATGCAATTCTGAAGGGAAAAAAAGTCAAATTTGTGAGATAAAAAGTCGCAATTACCTTTTTTTTATTCAGAGACGGAAACACTTCACAACTTCAGCTTCCATACTTCTTTTTTTCAGTGAAGTGTTTACATACAAAAAAGTTTATCATACAAAGCATTTTTTTCAATGTCATGTAAAAGCAGTCCTAATGTACACAGAAGCTGCATTCATTTGATCAAAACTACAGTAATATTTCACAAAAAATGGTAATATTGTAAAAAAATGACTACAATTTCAAATATCTTTCCTATTTGTATATATTTTGAAATGTCATTTATTCTGAATAAATGTCACAATTTTCAGCATAATTACTCCAGTCTTCAGTGTCACATGATCCTTCAGAAATCATTCTAATATGATGATTTTGAGATAGTGTGTGTGTGTGTATATATATATACACATATATACACACACATTTTTTTTTTTTTTTTGGAAATCGTAATTAGTTTATTTCAGGATCATTTGATGAATAGAAAGTTCAAAAGAGCAGCATTAATTTTATTTTTTTTTTTATTTTTTTCTGTATACAATGTATGTGCACTCCAAAAAATGCTTGATTGTTTCAACCCACGTTTGGGTCCGATATGGACAAACCCAAATGTTTAAACCTAGGTTAAATTAAACCAATGGGTAGTCCATATTTGACCCAAATATGGGTTGAAACACCCCATTATGTTTTGTTTTTTTAGGAGTCTGGTTATTTGATTTATTAATTAGCGTATCATCTAATTAATTTGTTTTTCTGCATAGCTCTACAATGGTCCACAAGGCCACAGCAGCAGAGAATAATGAGTGGAGCGTGCTCAGATCACACATAGTGCCAGTGTGGCTGTTCAGCAGCCACTGCAGCTTGTGGCGCATTAGAATGCAAAGCATCCCGGCGAGAGGATAGGTGTGTGAGGAGGAGAATTAGAGAGAGAAAAAAAGAGGAGCAAAAGAGCTTTAGTGTTACAAAAACAAGCCCATCGGTGCATGCCCGTGAAAAACATCCACACGTCTGTTCCGCTTTCGAAACTCCCGTGAGTCACCCTCCAAAAGAGGCTCCCGTGAGCTCTCGCTCATTCCTCCTTTTCTTAAAATCTCCTCCTTTTCCCCCCATGTGACAGGTCCAAATTGCTTCGCTGGTACCACAATCATCCCAGCTGGCATTGAAGTGAAGGTGGACGACTGCACCATCTGTCGGTGCCACAGCGGGGACTGGTGGAAGCCTGCGCAGTGCTTGCGGCGGGAGTGCCTCAACGGTCAGCCGTCATCATAGAAACCCTCCGGAGATGAAGAGAGGGACGCCGATGCGATGTGCTGTCAGCGGCCCACCTTGTGACAGCGAGAGACTGACTGACTGGCAGGAGCACAATTCCACTGGCAAACTGAGACGGCTGGACATGCTGAGATACATGGGACATGGACTCGACATAATGTACACTCAAACACACACACACACACACACACAAAAGTCCTTGGCAGAATCATAAGTTTGTCTTTCACTGAGAACACATTTTTCTCCTGTGATGAGTGAACCTCATGGAAATATTTCACTCCAAAATCAAAAGAAAGAAATGGTACTTTGCATAAAGAAAATAGTCTATTTTAGGACTTTATGATATTTGCATCTTCCACCATAAAAATGTCCCCCACTTCAATTTTCATTTTATGTATTCCCTTAGAATAATTTACATTAATCCAAATACGCTTTTATTTTGTAATTGGCCATATTCACAGAGACTTTCATTAGATTCTTATAATGAAATTCAATATTTTTTACTGTATTAATATAAAAAAATATTAAATATCAAAATAATTAAATATTGAAAAACATTCAAACCATCTTAAATCACAAATTAAAGTACGACATACTATCATAATATATAAATACTTTAACAAAGATTTAAAAAACTTTTTTGCATTACATTACAAATTACAGTACAATACAAATTACGAGAATGTCTTTTTTTTTTCATTGCCATAAAAATGGCAATTTAAGTGCAAATGTGCTTAGTACAATAAAATACCTTGACAGTCCTAAAAAAAAGCAAAATTTTCTTCAGGCAAAAATGCAATTTCTAATTTTGTTCATTTGGTGCGAAATATGATCTGGGCATGTTCTTGACAAGTTTCATGAGATTCACCCACTAGTTTTATTAGTTGCTTATGCTGCTTAAACACAGTGTTTGTATATTTCACAAGACATTGAGTGCTCAATGAGAACATTTAAACCTAAAATAGCACCTCAGTCCTTTGAAGATAAAGTTGATCATTTTAGTCTGAGCTTACAGTGAGATACAGCATTACATACTGTACACAAACCACTCCTCCACTAGTCCTGTACAAGCCTCTGTGTTCCCACATTTGTTAAGTATGAGTAATATTTAGTGGTAGTACTACTAGGGGGTATTACTGTAACTTGTTCATTAAGGAACATGATTAATGACAAGTTTGATTTTTATAGTTTCATTAGTGAAACAAGAGGGAATAAGGTAGATCTACTCCACATAATTGGAAAATGGCCCAAGAGAAACAGCTAAAATAATTCCGTGATTGTTTAGGGATATAATTTTATTGCTTCATTCATATGAGAAAACTGAAGAATGAAAAAAAAAAATATGATAATGGATCCAGCAGTATTGGTTGGAAACTATTTCCATAAATAGGGTACACTTTAACTTCCTGTGTTAAGCATTAAATATTTTATATAATAATTATATTAAAGCTGCAGTCGCAGTTTTTCCTCTTTGTCGCCATCTCTGTTTGAAATCTGCAATTGCAGTAATTTACGGAATAGTCAACATTACGCGAGCACAGCGTGGATGAACACAATGTTTTGAGGAGAATGTGCTTCTGTGAGTTACCGTGCCGATGTGGATACTGGCATTCAGAATCACAGATTATATACTTTTTGGAAGTATGACCAACATAATAATTTTCACCCTACATTTTCATCTGAACACTTTTGTTCTGACCAACTAAGAGAAAAGCAGCTTAGTAGTTAATTGCGCTGATTAAATCTAACGATCGCTTGTCATATCACATCAAACTGTGCAAATTATAGTTTACTTTGTTGTCAAATTGTTGATTTTAACAACATCAGCACTGCACGACTGCATTTAATGCTCTTCAGATATGTATCCTTGTTTTGGCATGCGCCCGGTTGCAGTCTCTTTTTCCAAACTCTCAGTCCAAAGTCTTCTGCGTTTTCATTAGAGATTGTCGTTTGAACCTTTCTGGATCCGCCATCAAATTAATACGTTTAATTATATCAAATGTTGTGAGAAAAGGCTATAAATCTCCACCTCCAACATCCTCACACGCAATATAGCCTACTAGCCGAGACTCCTTCTTTATGTGTACAGATGTGACGTATTAATGACGCAAAGACATGCTCGAATTTTGAATTTCCAGCGGAAATCCACCAGTACCACTGGAATTAAAAACATTATTACCATTATTAAGCTACCGTTTTAAATCTAGATAAGTTAATCAGATCGCTCTGAACACTGGCTGGTTAAGTACTTGCTCAAAAATATATTTTGGATAATTAGTTACGGACTGGAGCTTTAATATATTGTAATGTAGTAAAAAAAAAAAGAAATTAACAAGGATGCATCAATATAAGTCCAATTGCATTTTTTAAAAACATTCTATTCATAGAATCAGTAGCACAACTGTTCTCATTGATAATAATATCAATTTTTCTTGAGCTCCAAATCAGCATATTAGAATGATTTCTGAAGGATAGCGTAACAATGAAGACTGGAGTAAAGATGCTGGAAAAAAATCTGCTTTGCATCACAGGAATAAATTACATTTTTTAAATATATTCAAATAGAAAATGGTTATTTTTTTATTGTAATAATATTTTAGAATATTACTGCATTTTGTTCAATTGAATGGTATATATATATATATATTAGTGGTGTAACAATACCCTCATGTCATGTTTCGATACATATCACGATACTGAACTCGCGATACGATATTATTGCGATACTCCAAGATAAAAAGGGTTAACAAAAAATGTACTGTTGTTTAAAATGCTAAACTTGATATTACATTGTGGGTTTAAATGAATAGGCTTGGACTTGGTGCTTGTAACCCAAGGACAATGGTGACACCAGAATAACAATATTCATGATTCTGAAGCTGAAATTACAGAATAATTTTACACGAATATTCTTGCACTGTATCACTGACTATATATATATATATATATATATATATATATGTTAGGTAACAAGACATTTGGCATTATCAGGACCCACAAATATTCTCCCATTGCATTATTAAACATTATAATCAACATTATATACAGTAGTTTAATGTAGTATTGACACTAAAACTCTGAAAACTTAAATTTTTTCACTCAGTCCTTTTTATTTTGGGGGAACTATCCACGAAGTTCCCCCAAAGATGACATGATGACATGTAGTCATTATCCACGATACGTATTGTTGCATTTTTGTATTGCGATATATTGTGACATGATATATTTTTACACCCCTAACATTCAAAGACAACAAAATCAGCGTCAGGCACATTTCAATCAAATATCATAGAAAATAAATATGTTCCTCAATTTTTAGCTTGACCTCCTCTTTCTGAAGATAAAGCACCTCCTTCCATTCATCATTTGTTAAATAAAACATTGTAGTTTCAGGCAATATATTGTACCCTATTAATGGAAAGCATCCTCTAACGTCAAACCCGTGCAACCAACAAATCTCAACCGTAATGCAGTTCTCCCATCAGTTTTCAAAACCCTCGTTTTTCTCTCCCAATCCCAAACAAGCACACTTTCCTAAAGTCTTGCAGCTTGATCTTGTTATCTAAGCAATTAGCCATCCCACAACAGCCTACTTTAATTTTCCTTAATCAGGCAATATGCAGTGATAAATTACCCGCCTCTGCCCTCTGTGGCACTGCCCGACAGACACGCAGAGGGCTAAAACAAAGGAAGGAATCTGCATACAGTCTGGCGCTTCAAAGCCACGTTCTTTTGATCTTCCGCGCATCCGTAACCTGGGCTCACGGCAATTTCGCTCTCAGCTTAGAAGGAAGATGTTGATCAACTGCACTTTGAGAAACACTTAAACCAATAAGAACCTCTAGACAGACTCTGAGCCGCTTTCAGCCCACATTTGCTGATGACTTTTCTGTATCCTAACACATCTGTGCAGGGACCCATTACCGCACAATGTTAGCAAAGACCATCATTCGGCGGTTTAACTAATGCGTAGCTTATAGACCCCCTTTAAAACAGGCATCCAGCTCTAAAATTTCCTTTTTTTCCTTTCTTTTCACAATGATGAATACCAGTCATTAATTCAATAGGGACTTTACCAAGCACCTGTGATTTATCATAGGTATTTTTTCCCTCTCCAAGAAAATTCAATGCCTTTAACCTTTTGGACTCTGTTTCGAAGCTCTGATGGATGAGCTACTTAATAACAGATCTGCAGATTTGGTAATGAGACGACAACGAATGCAATAGCATGACCGCCAAAGGTGCCATATATATATATATATATTGTCCTAGATATAAATATATATTCGCCCACTGCTTTTTACTTCATCTTTCAGGTCTCTTGTCTCTCTATAGCTCAAGGTAGAAGCCAAGACTTGTCCAATAAGTGAGCAAATCATTAGGTCTCAATTGAAATGATGAACCGTAAAAGTCTATAAATGACATACAGCGAGTGACAAACGATTATTAAACAATCCCGAGAGCCTTCTTCACGCTGGACGTTTATTACAGCTCTGAGCATATAAAAAAAAACAAAAAAAAAAACAGATGTTGTGTAGCAACATCTAACACAGAGACAGGATGATGCTAAAAGAACAGATGAGTACACAAGCTGTCATGAGCAAGATTGTGAAGCACTAAGCAGCACCAGACATGACCCACAGCTACAAGCAAAGCTCAGGCTTATCTTTTTGTTTTCGTGGGTTCTGTTTCTCTTTTTGTCCTAAGCCTGCCCATCCGAATGGGCGCAAGGTGCTTACCTTTCTAAAATCACAGACAAGAGAAGGATTTCGGAGCTAAACTTCCCTCTGCTGTAGACTGATACATCTACTGTAGCAACAAAACTAGAATATCAACAAGAGCTTCAAAGAACTGTGGCAAACTCATTTATTTCATTACTACACAATCTCAGATTACAATGTCATTATATATGGCTGTAAAAACTGTCCAGATCACATTTCACCCTAAAAGTTAAATATTGCGCCATGAAAATGATCAAAAAGTATTGGTTTTCATTAAGAATTTTTTTTAAGTACAGTAACTTTACATGCATCAAATTCTCTGTAACTAATCTGGATGTATTGTTTTATACGTATTTGTTTTATGTAAAGTTTTTTTTTATTTATTTATTTTCCATATTTTCTGGAATGTAAGTTGACTAGAAAAAAAAGATTTGGTGTACAAGTCACATTTTATTATTACATTGAGAAATAATGTAAAATATTGGTAAATAAAACTTTTACAAACACTATAAACCCATATTTTAGTTCCCAT